CCCAGTGCCAGCTCCCCTAGTGCCAGGCTCCCTGAGCCCCCAGTGCCAGCTCCCCCCAGTCCCAGCTCCCCTAGTGCCAGGCTCCCTGAGCCCCCAGTGCCAGCTTCCCCAGTGCCCGGCTCCCCACTAGTGCTCTCCTGCCCCGAGCCCCCAGGTGCCCCGCTGCATCCAGCCCCCAGTGGCCCCCTCCCACCACCCCAGGTACCCCGCTCCCCCCAGCCCCAGTGTCCCCCTCCCCCTAGTGCCTCGCTCCCCACAGCCCCCTACCTTAGCTGCGCAGCCGATCAGCAGCAGGGCTGTAGCCAGCAGGAGGTGCAGGGTCTCCCGGGGGGCTCTCATGATGCCGAGCCGGAGTGTGGGGGTCCCCTAGCGCTGGTGTCCAGGGCTCCTGGCCGGCAGCTGCCCCCTCCCTCCGGCAGCGCCCGCAGTCCGGGGCACTCGCATGGTAGCTCCGAGCGCTGGGCTGGCGGGATGCAGGGCACGGACCCCTCGGCCCTCGGAGTCCCCCGAAGGCAGCGCAGGAGCCCGGCTCCGCAGTCCGTGGGGAGGTAAATCCAAGGATCGGGCCCCGCCTGGCGGATCAGGCGGGGCACTGACTGGCCCCAGGGGGCCCCGCTGCCGGGGGGCGGCTACAGGTGCATCGGAGCCCGCGGGGCCAGCGCGCCTGCAGGAGCGAGCGGCTCCGAGTGAGCCAGGCGGCCGCGGGCGGCCGGGGAGAGGGAGCGGGGCTGGCTCCAGGGAGTGACTGATGGCCCGGCCCAGCCCGGCCCCAGGGGAGGCGGCAGGCAGCGGGAGGAGGGAGCGCGGCGGGACCGGGAGGGGGGACGGGGGGCAGCAGGGCGGAGCAGGAGAGGGGTGATGGGCAGGAAGCAGGAGGGGGGGCAGGAGGGAGCTGGCTGGGGGAATGGATGGTACTTGGGCTCCCATCCGGGGTGGAGGATGCTGTGAGCAGCCCTTGTGGTGATAGTGGGGAACGGGTGGAGGGGTAGATGGGTGTGTGGGGAGGGATGGGTGGAGGGGCGTGTGGGTATGGAGTGGGGGAGAGGCGTGGGGATGGAGGATGAAAGGAAGGGTGGGTGGGTGCGAACGGACGAGTGGGGATGGATGGAAGGATGGAGGGGTGGGTGGGGATGGATGAGGGGATGGATGGATGGAGGGGTGGGTGGGGAAGGATGGAGGGGTGGGGTGGATGGAGGGGTGGGTGAGGATGGATGACTGGGGATGGTTGTAAGGATGGAGGGGTGGGGGTGGATGGAGGGGTGGATGAGGACGGAGGAC